GTCAAAATATGACCAGAAAGTGGGTGAAGAATGTGAACTTCGTGACCGCATGTCCGTACACTTTGCGGGTGCAAAATGCATACCAAAGGTCAGGATGACTTTGATCAGTTCATCTAAAATCGCCCGCCTCTTCACTCCGAAGGCGAGAACGATATTCCAGATTGACAAGGAGTTCGTCACAGGCTATTTGGACACCGGAGTTTTGAAGACCTTCCAGCTTTCGTCTCATTTCGCCAATCACGAAATCAATTAAGAATGGGGAGAGTGGGCATCCTTGCCGAACACGAGTTTGTGCACGGAAGCTTTTGTAGAGCTTTCCGTATACTCTCACACGTCCGGAATTTTGAGAATACAAAGAAAATATGATATCCAGGAACTTCCTGGGCATTCCTTGATGTACATGCGTGTCAAGGGGAGCAGATGGGTAAAAAATTTGGATGTGCTTTGGAAATCCAGGAATACTAAAATTGTGGGTATTTCATACGTTTGGCGTTGTTTTGGCACCTGTGGAAATTTGGTCAACACAACTAATACGCTTGAATTTCGCTTGCTGCTCTCGAGTCAGTGTTTTACCTACCACCATAAGGTGACGAAGCACAAGTTAGCCAGCAGTCTCGTTACCACCGTGGTCAAGCTGATCCTCATTGTTTGAGCATAAGCTCTATCGGCGACTCCCTCATTTGTCTGAACCAACCTCCTTTTCCATAATGCAGACAAACAGATCAGACAAACGCTGACTGAGGACTTCACTCCGTCTTTGAACAATGCAGGTTAGAGGTCATCCGGCCAGATCCTTGGTGCTTGAGAGACCGTATGCAATCATAAATCCCCGAGACTGTAGGGGGTTCCAGTTTCACCGTCTCCAGCCAAGCGCTGGAGGCGGTCACGGGAATCCTATCTAATGTATCAACAACACCCAGAATTTTCGTAATCTCTTTCACACCCTTCTGCCAACTCATACGTTCATCATCATCATCAAAGACAGCAGCATCAGTGTTACCACTGATGCTTCACTGCCGTACGTCATACGTTGTCCACCTCACAGTTTCTGCCATTCTGAAGTAGGCACAGAAAGCAACATTCGACTTGGTAGGTGGTGGTGCGGCGTGCGTCACACATGGCTGAGCCACCACGGTTGATGCTGGTTGTTTTCCGCCATTGGAGTGCCTGCTGATTAGCTGGTTACGAATCCGTTGACGCCATCCGACACCAGCAACACTTCTGAGGCACCGGTGGTCGAAGTCCTGAGAACGCCCTTATTGTAGCCTGATACCTTCGGCCCTCAAGACCCACTAATATGCCTTTCTGATGCCACAAGTGATGCAAATTAGCAAACGTTATTTGGACCCTTGAGATTCGTGCACTGACACTTCCATAAGAGCTAATACGACTGCCGAGGTATGCAAGATTATCCACAACGTCCAGTATTTATCCCTGAATTGTAAGCGCTATGTTCAAAAGCCGCACTTAATGAAGTATGACTTTACACTTTGACAGTGCTAGGCACATGCCGAAAGATGGTGCGATGGTGTTCAGTCTACTTAACAGAGGTTGTGTTTCGCCTTCGTCTTCAGAGATGAGGGCGACGACGTCTGCGTATACCAGATGGACAAGTTCCTCACCAACAAAAATTTGAACCGCGAGGTTTTGAGGACCTTCCAGCGGTCGCCTCATTATTTCATCGATGGCGAGGCCGAACAAGAACAGAGAGAGTGGGCTTCCTTGTCGGACACCACTTTTTGTAGTGAAGCTCTTGTAGAGCTCACCATACACTCACACGCCCATAAGTATGTGAATACAGTGACTGGATTATGCGAACAAAATTTCGGGACTTACCCTGTTGAGAAATTGTGGTTAAGTACTGACTGATCCACGAAGTCGAACGCCCACTTGAAGTCAGGGAATACCAAAATTGTGGGTCGCTGTACATGTGACGTTGCTCGAGCACCTGACGGAGTGTAGAACCGTGGTTAACGCAGCCTCTGCCCGGTCGAAATCTCGCTTGATGCTCACGGGTTAAGGATTCGCATGCCACTGTAAGACGCTGAAGAGTCAGGGACGCCAGAAATCTTGTTATAATGGGAGTGCAACTAACACCTCTGTGGTTGCCACATTCACTACCAGTGCCCTTTTTAAAAATGGGCGCTGTTATCGACTCACCTAAGTATGGCGGAAGCAGAGTGGCATTAACGAGATTGCAGAAAGTTTGGAGACCTCGTGATCCTCACTGCGCCTGTTTGGGGACGCTGCAAGATATGGTTGCTAGTCAATGTCGGTGGCGTTCTTGCGGTGCTAGTTTGTATGCAGAATGCCTGAATGAGCGTCTGGAGGTAGTTTAGCCTTAAGTTCCTTTCCATTCCACTTTTCTTCTTCACCGCAAAGCTTTCAAGTAAATCGCGGTTTTACGATAGTGAAGCATAGCGATGATGTTGATGTAGAGGTGGCGTATACCAGGCTATAGTACAGACTGTGTTGTGTGGTTGCGAGGTACAGCCTCTGCGGGCGGATATTTCGCTTTTTCCGGTTTTAGAATGGTGTCGATGAATTCGTAACTGGGTAATGCGGTAGAAACCTCAGTTTTGGAAAATACAATGGCATCAAGACGATTATCTCCCTCAGAATGGCGCCAAATTCGTCGCGGGCTGTGTAAATTGGTAGAATAATGTGGAAGTTTACCGAGAATGGTTGGTTTGGTCCGTCCTCCGGGATGTTGTCCCCGCAGCCCTCCATGCGCCTGGCTAGAGAAGCTGCAATATGTCAGATTGTTTGATTGCGATTTTGGAGTTTTAGGCGTCAGGATACATGCGCGAGGTCAGTACCAGAACCATTCTTAGTTCTTTTTTACTTTAAGGCTTAACTTATAATTTACTAGACTGGTTATATGAAGGTCAACATTATTATCAACACTTATGTTATTTCTGATGATGGCGATTACGGTTTATGTTTCGTAATTGCGTGCCGATCCACTCCTCTCTTCACCTCTTCAAACAAGAGCGTTTTACAGCCGCTGCGAGCCTGCACGAGAGAAAGAGAGAGGCATAAGTACAGCGAATAGCAACGGTATTTGTCCTTTAACATCCCGCTTCGCTATAGTCATAAATATTTCGAAAACGTTTATCAACGTATTGAGCTCTGCAACAAGACACTATTCAGATTAATGGTCACTACACACGTGCGTCTGGTACCCTGACTGCAAAGGTGACAGTCAGGTTATAAGGCGAATGCCACATGCGGTCGTCTACACAAACGCGTTTGGAGCCACCACAACCTGCGCCTGGATACCGAGGTTGCAGCATATCGAGTTGTCGTATTATGTTCGGTGCTGCCTGACAACAGCACATTAGGGTTCTTAACGACTTTTTGAAGGCCTAGGAAAGATACTTTGAATTCACTGGTTAGATCAGATCCCAAACACGGAAATTATCAAACGAGCCAAGTTCGGTGCCACGTTGCTGTGATCGTTCTGGAATGGCTGCCGAAACAAAGACCTTTTCAGTCATCACAAACGACACAGGAACACCCTCGAAACAGCTGAGATTTTTATACATGTTGGACAGGATCAACAACCAAATAAGTCCTTCTTTCGACCGAAGAGTAACTTGGACGCAAAACGGAAAATAGTCTCCGAACATGTCATGTTACTCTCTACGTCGTACTACTTCGCATACGCAACAACTAACTTGTGCAAGTCAAGGATGTTCGACAGAGTGTGGACACTAGTGTTTTTGGATTATCCTTTGAACATAGTGGCGCGGACAACTGTGATATTCATCAGGCTGCTTCTTTATATCTTCGACGAAGCAGACTACACTGTTTCGAATGCAAAACAAACCAGTAAGGACTGTATTTTTCCTCTCAGGGACTGTTGCTTTGAACTGGTAATCAGTAAAAACGTGGCTTGTTACAACCAAATTTTATGGTCATCATTTGGGACTCCAAACAGTTTCTGTAGTGTTGGTCACTGAAAGCTGGGTCGAGGTGCGCATATACGTTGATTCAGCGCATTTAGATTTGAATGTCGCTATGTACACGGAGCTAGTTTGTCTGATCACGGGAGCTAATTGCTGCTAAGTGAAGGACTGATCGATCGTTTTCAGCACCCACCATCATCATCGTCGAAAGCGTGACATCAATGTTCAACACTGACGCTTCGATGCCGCACAACCGTGATTTATTTGTAAGCCTTGTTGTGAAGAAAATGGTAAAAATTGATGGGGAGGGAACTTATTGCTAGCTTACCACAATCATTTCGAGATGCATATATTAGTGCACAGGTGATTATAGCAAATTACAAGGTGTATGTGCACTAATAGAAGTTTTTAGTATGGTTGCGACACGTATAAAAATAAATACAGTGCGAAATGGGAGCGAGTCCAAAAAAAGGGAACTTGTCGTCTGAGAGAGTCCCTTGGTGAGAGTCCCGACGTCGGGAACGTGTTTTCTCCACAGTTTGGCTGCTACACGTATTCCATAGTTGTCCGTGGACTGGGAGTGTTTGGCTGACTCCTTGCTCCCTGCGCGCTCGCGAGTCTGTGTGTGCTGACTGCGTTCGGTTTCCCTATATGTATGCGCGTACGTGGGCGCGTCAGCACGTGAGTGGTTGGTATGCTCACTAGACGGTGTAGACAATCGATGTCTGATGAGTTACCTTAATGTGACGTGGTTGTGGGCATGAAAAAGAGACAAGTTTCGTGATCCAGTGAGCGACTGTGGGCTCAACAGTCAAGTGTGTGGGTGACTGGGTCGCTACAAATACTCCCCCTCCGACGAAAGAGAAAAATAATTGCGGGAGAAATCCAACAGCATGCTCGAATCGGTGGGGATCACGCGATCCCTATCCTAAGGGGCAAGGTCTTCAGTATTGCCATCTTATGGTGATCGTCTCATTGGACCGGTTATTTATTCTATACTTGTTCTAAGGTTTGGTACGACCGACTAGTGGAGTCTTCATTTAGCTTGCCGAAGTCTGCAGTCTACTTTCTTCTTTTTGGTGTTTTTAGGTCGTCGATTTGATGTCTACTGCGGCCTCAGACTATGCACAATTTATCCTCAAGGTACACTTTGGACCAGTGGCTACGAGCGTTACTAGGCTGATGAGAATAAAGGGTCCTGTTTTGCTTCTAGAAGTCCTCAGGGACTGTCCCACTTTACACTCTCTGCATATCACAAGGTATACTTATTTCTTGCTCGATGAAGCTCTTTACTTCAAGGTGCCTACGTTCGCTTATGAGACACATGGTTGTTCATGTCACGAAAACAAAAACGTTGAAATATGAGCTCAATTACCCTCTCATATATTGTATACCCAGGTATCCTGTTTTTGTAGACCCTATCTTTTCAGATTCCCCTTTTTCTGTCAACTTGTTTTGCACTTCTATGGAAAAATAGCCGAAGAAATCATTTCAAATTTGTTCTTGCTAGGTAGAGCTACAGCGTCTGATATAATTAGATGCTGCCTTATCCGTCATCATTCTAGCTGTATGGCACTTTGTTTGGAATTGTGTAAACTTTTTCAGCCGATGCAGACAAACATAAGTTTGCTGATTCGCTAGCCGCGAGTTTCGACACTCTGGTGAAAACAGGCGTGCTGCGAGTTGTGCCCTTTCTTACTGATACTTCACAGGCAGGGACTGCTAGCCCGAATCACGGCAACGAAACAGTTCAAGAAGATTGGCGCATGACAAAAGATGAGTTTTGCGGTAAGTGGGTGTGATTACGCAACAGCATTAATTTCGCTATTTTTCGCGCGTTCCCCGTTAAGTAGGCCTGTATGAGTTTCAAACTTGGGCTTTGTACGACCTCGTTGGTTGAAGGTATTTAACCGCATTTGTTCTCACAATCTCGGTACTTTTGCAGGGGTTTTCGCATAATGCGTCCGAATGCTTGGTAGAATACGTTTTATGCAGGGTGATACAGGTAGAAGCGTAATGCAATCAACTATGCTGGTCGTCGTGACTGGGATACACACTGGGATACGTTATGCATGAACAGCATGATCGGTCGCGTTTCGATTTGGCTAATAGCTATCATAGTTTCTGGCTGCATTACTCGGCTAGTAGCCTGTTTCGAATCACGATGACTATAAATTAATTGGATTTTCTATTTTGGCTTACGCCATGCGTCTGTTAGAAAACATGACTACTGGGAAGCATTCAACTGGGGGTCTGTGGCTTTCGAGAGGTGGCCGCACGCACAAATGTGATTAAAGCAAACAGTTCTGCGTTAATCTGTGAAGACTGTTAAACAACATGGCACGCGATAACCTCTGTCGCATCCACCTCTTGGCTCCCGTTCAGGAAAATCTCGTGCTGCGTTTGACGAACATGGAGAGCGGCGGCAATCAAAGTAAGGAAGAAAAAACCGAGGGCCTAGAAGGTAGGCTTTATTCATCTAAAAGTTGAACACTGCAAGCTAAAACGAGAAATAGTGATTTATCAATGAACGATTAAGCGCTTTAAGAAAACAGAGGAACCGGGCAAACAAAGCACTTCCGCTAGGATACACACAAGACTTCGTTTTATGGTCGAATAGTGTCAGACCTTTGGTGCACAAGAAATATGGTCGTGTCCGCTGTTGCACAACCAAAGAGTGTTCAGAACAATTCGACATTTCAGTCAGATAAGTCCGGCCTTTTGAACGAATCAGTATTGGGCTGTGATTGCTGATGTTCGGATACTGGAGTTCATTTAAAATCTGCGGAAAGCGCCAGGTGAAGTGAGGAGACTGGTTCTTCCACGTCGTTAGGGTGTCGGACATGTACGTACTCAGGGTAATAATCCGGTGTCTCAAACTCTTCGACAACGGGGTCGTGTTTCGAAGACAATGTATTTCGTTGCATCAAAACTGGTCCTGGCAAAACCAACCACTGCGGCAATGATGTACCGATTTCGGATTTCAGATTATGATGAGGCATTCGCTTATGTGGAGTGGCATCGGTGACGGTACACAACCGACAACGAACCGAATGGAGAGTGTCTTGTATGACAGTTTCCCAATGACTGACTGAAGACGTTTTGATCGTACTGAAAGCTTACTAGCTTTCCACGAAGTCCCATCTAATCGTTCCACCTGACCTTTCCCTCTTTGGTTGTATGGAGTGGTCCGACCGGTGGCAACGCCTTTTTCATGAAGAAATTGCCTAATATCATCCGAACTGAGTGATGAAGCGCGACCCGAATGCATGAGACTAGACAGACCAAACGTAGTAGAGAATGGCACAGGACATGATATAACGGTAGACGAACTTATACCTGGGCACAGCTAGGCGAACGGGAAACGAGAATGCAACCGCCAGTAGATATTTATTTCGAGTCGTCGAAGGTAGTGCTCCTTTAAAGTCAATGCTTAGACATTCAAGCTTCTGTGGGGCTTTAATGAATGGGCCACCAGGTGTCTTGAAGAAACTTGGTTCTAACTTCGCACACGCATGGTACTGCTTGATGATAAGTCGGATGTCCTGTAGGGAGAATGGAAGATTCTTGGCACGAATGAAATGCATCATACGTGTGGCTACAGGATGGCACTGAATTACATGTAAGCGTCTTAGATGTGTTCACACAGAAACTCCGAGAGAATGTGTCAGTGGATTTGTTTTCCGTACCTGGTCTGTAGGTTACATCAAAAGAAAGAGGTGGCAAGTCCATCCACCATCGTTGAATTTTGTCGTCTTCCCAATAACCCTTATTGCTGTGTTGAATACATGAACGCAACGGACTGCCGATTGGTTACTATTTTGAAATGGGGCCCCAGTACGCAGTACTTTCATTTAAGCACTGCTCCGACAATTGCGCACGCTTCTATTGCAATAGCAGAGTGATGTCTTTCGCTGGCAGACTGTATGTGAGAAGAATGCCGCCATTCTGCCATCCTGATAGAGTGTAGCGGAAATTACAACACCAGATGCATCAGTTTCGGGTATCAGAGGCATTCTGGGATCGACGTTAACCACAACTGCATCCTGTAACTCTTTTTTGAGACTTTCAAATATTTTTATAACAATTAGCGACTGGAAAGGTAGGTGTTTTGAAAAAATATGTGAAATGTGTTTGTAACCTGGAGAACTCGGTTACGATGTAGCAAAATTTTCTTAAGGTCCAGTCCATTTGTTTGAGCTCCAAGTCCATAGCTTGTTAACTGTCCTGCTCTCCGTTAGAGTTGATACCTGGTTAAATGAATAGTTTATTTAATCACCAGTAGCCAGCTTCTTCTGAGCAGAAAATAACATCCGGTCAGAATGAAAGCGTATGTGCATAGTGGTATATTCACCATATTGTACACGAAGTTAAGTGGACGACTGTCCACTTGACGGTTCACCTGGATGGTGTTTACCGTGGGAAATGATAGGTTGCTGTGCTCAACCTTCCTTATCTAATCACCGGTCCGCTTCTAGTTCGCATATCGTAGTATTCTGCTGTCCCTCTTCTATGGCGTAGTCGTTTTGGAGACTCCTACTACTACTATGGACTACTTTACCAGATGGTCCAGTAAGTCCACCTAATTCACAAGCAACGTTTGGATCCATTGACTTAATATTTGAACTTCTAAGTACCTACCCACTCTCTGGGAAGCGTTCTAGATTGCGGGTTCGAGGTAGATCAACGATCAAGGCGCGAACTTACTGACCCGAAGGTCCGTGGTTCGAACCCAACCTTGACATCTCAACTGCTCCTATCTTTGCTTGGACAACGTGGCAGAATCTCAACCCTCGTGCTTTCCCCGGGTGACATGGCAGTTATGCACCGGAGGGGCGTTAGGTCTGGATGATTACTTATTATATTATTTATTGAAGGATGAGTAATGTGTCCACCTAACCAGGTTCAATCACAGCCTCACCTCAGTGGTACCGCATACTTTTTTAGTAGCGTTTTTGACGGAACCATCTTAGGATTGTTATCCAACCGGCATAACTTGATTGAGGGGTCAAATTTAACCACGAAAATCGGGGTTTACCTTAACATAAAGTGAAAAGTTAGATGTATTAACAACGATATGAAGCAATGATCCTTCATTTTCTCGTCTTTTCCTGTATACTCTTACTCTACCCGTCACGAAGAGACTGGACCTTACCGTGGTGTGACGGTTTGCGCACCTCAGCGATCCATTGAGTTATACTGGAGAGTGTCCCGCGACACTCACAGTCTCTCATACCAGGTTGGTCAATGGTTAGAGGTCTGACGAACACAGTCTCCTGGCCCTCCAGGTTGGGGGTTGGAACATGTGGCGACTTGTTCCGTAGAAATGGTAATGCATTTGCATTTCCCGCCAAACACCGCTGTCTTGCGGTTAGGCTTTTGAGCCAAAGGCTATGGTTGAGGACCCTAGTCGTCCTCCTGTCTAGGTGTGGGCGCCCTGGCAGTATCCCAGCCCACGTACAACCTACGGCAATGAAGCATCAGTGTTGAACACTGATGTCATGCTGTCGATGATGATGATGATGACTCCTATTCTGTTCAGTTTAAAAATTTACTGGCGTTATTTATTATTCAGGCGTGCTTGTATGGAGATTGTGACCGGGCGCCCGTGTTTTCGTGTTGAATGTTCCGGTATTCCAATGAAACTTTCGATTTTCTGAGCTCGGTTCAAGCATGTGGTCTATTGCCTTAAGTATATGTTCCTTTTTTTCAAACTTCCTTTACCTTTTCTGTATGTTTCGATAAGAAAATTCATAAACCCTTCATACGCATTGACTCAGCCTATGTGTGTGTAAACTAATGGCTTGGTTAAGTTGGGCTGAGTTTGCAATCAGATTTAATTAGAAAGGCTGAGAAATGCACTTTCGAGTGCTAGATAATGATTCTAATTGATACATTCGCCCGGATTGCGAAACCTCCCCTATTATCCTAATTCAAAGTGAAACTAACAACAGAACAAGATATCCACAGAGTTTATCGCACGCCATTTTTCGTTATTTTCAATGGTATTCCGCGCCACAAGAAGTGCATGCGTCGTTGCTTACGGGATTGTTTTCTTGTATGGTTTGCGTATTCGCTTCAGCTAACAGGATAAGGTTGTTGTTACGAGTTGGTTGTAATTGTAGATTTCTCCAATGAATCACATCTTCGTGAGGATAGAGTTTACTGTCGCCAAACATGACCATACTTACCCTAGCTATTCATCTTCCTAGAGTCCCTGCATAAATTCGTGTCAACTGGGTCCAAACGGTGGATAGGCAGTGAAGATACCGACGAGCCCGAAGAGAAGCGAGCTAGAGACAAGAATACACCAAATGTAAGCCATGTGAACTGTCTGCTGTACTCTTTTGGCACTGACCGTAATTTGCCTCCAACTTCCGTTCCATCAAAATATTTTACAAATCTCCCTCTTCAGCCACTAATCTCTGTGTAAGGCATTTTTTGAAAAATATACATCGAATTGGACACGCAGTTCAGGAACTTGCTCAGCTTTCTGTCTTCGTTTCGAATTTGCTGTCATGCAGCCTTTTATCCAGAATGCAAGATTATAATTATGTTCTTCGCAAAGCTTTTCCAATGGTCAGTTTTAGCTTTCAGTTGCTTAGCTGTTAGCTGTGGACTGAGGGTAACTTGCTTTTGGGGCGATGTCCTAATCAATTCATTGGCATTGGGGTGTTTCGATGATATTTGGTGCGGGCGCGTGATTGGATATGGTACCGGGCCGTACCCACCATTAGTTTTTCGCCTTTTGGGCTCTCCATCCAGCAGGTGGCGACTGACAATTCGACTGATCGAGTTGTGTTGTTAGGTTATGGATTGTCTTAGGGTTATTTTTGCTCGAAACCCGACTGAGGTAGGTGGTCCTCTGATATGCGAACCGCATGACTTGATCAACAGAACCCATCGAGTACGGGTATCCCGTCTGTCGCGAGAGGGTTTCATTTTCCAGCTATCATCTTACCATAACCGAACTCGATGTTGTCGATAGAGCCAAACAGTTCTTCAGAGACGCCGACTATTAACTACAGAGCTTTTTTTGTGTATATTATGTACGGCGGGGCCGCGTTTATTGTGTCGAAAGTGGTACGGATCACTCGGTCCTTGGGGTATTTGATGTCATGTTCTAATTAAGGCCATCAGCCGACTTAACTTTGTTGAAAGAATTAGAGGGACCCCAGCTGCATGCGCAGCTTTCCTTCTTTTAAAGAACATTGAATTAAGAAACGCAGGTAAGGCACTTTTGCTCTTAGGAATTTTCGCAAACAGAATCCTTTTTACACCCAATAGCCCATCAGAGTAAATAATTTAGGGTCACTTCAGCCTCGTTGGTAAATTATCCCTCACTGGTGTGTAACTTCTCCAGTTTGCGATTTTTGATTAAGCAACAACTGGCAACACTCCTTCATGTGTGACAATAACAACTCACAATGTCAGATCATAACCCCCTTATTCCATCGAATCAAGGTTGATCAAGTAATACCTACCAATCATTTAGTCAAGGCCAGTTTTTTTTTCACTGGTCGCGCGAATCGCGGCATTTGTTGCATCGACCCTGTATAATACTCAAACGGAAGCATGCCAGAGCTATACTCTTTAGTTGTTTACTTAGTAGTTGAATCGAAGTTGATGGGGATGCTGGGTCGATCTCACTGAGGGTGTTTCACTACAAGGTCATGCTTAGTTATGTTTATTTCATTGCTGTACCAATTTGATTTTTGCCTATTTCTCTTAACGTTATAGAGCTTTCATATTGAACTATTCACCCATGCATTGTCGGCTGTTTGTATGGCAGTTGGTATTTACCCACTCCTGGTGGTGATGATAGAAAAAGCTTGTTTTTCGCCTAGGTTTATGGAACCCATCTAGAGACCGATGAGTGGGTAATGGTTTGCCTCTATCACTGGATGAAATATCACACTGCTGACTAGTTCAGCTTAACGTGAATTCTAATTTCATCAAGTTCATTGTGTATGTCAACCTATCACTTTACTGGATCTGCAGTCTTACAATGATAGCTATTGTTCATAATTTTGATTTTTGAAATCATGTTTCGACTGTTTTGCTGGGAGCTCTTGTAACTTATCTCGGAAGGGTATCATATGTGTACTGGATAGTAGTTTATTCTATTTCTCCCATTTCATTTTCATGACACCGTCATATCGATTCCATTTTTCTTCACGTACAGCCTGCGTGGAAGCTAGCGATCGCCCCCAATATTGCTGTCCTGGAGGCCATGTGGCGCGATAGACTCATTTTTCATTTGGCCGAAGAACGTCTGGGGGAAGTGAGTCCTGTAGAAGCAGGCTGTTTTCTTGGTTTCTAATCTGCTTGGAACTGGTTTTGAGTTCAGGCTAAGCGTTATTTTGCATCCCCTCAAACTTTATGCATTTTAGACGTGTGCCGATCTTTTGTCACGTTTGTTATGCATGGCCACGGCAGCACGCAGAAACACAGAAATTACGTCGCATGAATCGGGGGCTGTTTCTCGGAATGAGGTGAGTATCGCCTTTTGTAGCGACCCGGATAGCATATGTGTCGGTTTTCGCGGTCAGTCGGTGAGACTGCCCAAACAGTCTGCAATTGCTTTTGCTCCATTGGGTACTGTTCGATAGATATGAGCTCAGAAGTCTAAGTAACTACTTCCCTTTTTAACTTGCAAGTACCCGGAACTAGTGATAGTTGTCTTTGGCGCTAAAATTCAGGTTCTCGACGGAACATTTATAAGCCCATGCTATACACGTTCCCTTGTTGGCGAACCCATAATCTTCCTCCCATTTCCTACAATAAGTTCATGGCATCTTAGATCTCGGGTGTAGCACCTTGCTGCGAATGAACTGTCGAGTGATAATCCCTTGGTCTCGATCACTTGACCTGACCAGGGCCATTGGGTTCTATCATTTCTGAGCTCATTATCATGGTGATAGTTGGCCTAATTAAAGGTTGTGAAGAGTAAGCCGGTCATCAAGTTATTAAGGTTCTGAGAGCTGATGAGTTCGCAGTTTCGTTCAGGTCCTTACGGTTGCAATAGGATAGAGCGGAGTTTGGTATATTACGGTGGGCAGAACAGCAGGTACCTTGAATGTTCCTGGATTGGTTGTTGGTTCAATTATTTGGTCACGGTGTATGATTTTTATCAAACCCTATGCATGGACCGTGACTGGCCGGAAGGCGATGTGGCTGCTCATATACTGGTCATTTAGTGGCCAGGTTGAAACAAGACGTCCAGTCCATCTTACCTTTCTGCTTTTCTCTTGTGCACAGCTGTTGCGGATTTTGCCAGGGGAACCTGAGTCTTTTGATTCGAACCTGACGTTGCTCACAGAGGATGAGGTATGATCTGATGCTTTTTCTCGGTACCTCGGAATTTATTAGTTTTGTTCTCAGCATTGGGCTTGACAGTTGTTCTCCAGCTCACTCCGACTACGTGGTGGGTTAGAATTAATCAGTCTCTCTAGTGCCTCGAATTACAGACACTTATCTATGTACTTTAGTGGCAAGGGCTTGTACGTTTCGATCTTATGTTGATTCTAGTGGCGTAGGCTTAAGTCTGGAGAGCTGTGCTTGAGTGTTCCAATGGTGAAGAACAAATCTTGTTATTTTGCGGATATACATAGGAGGAGAAGAGTCATCTCCGTTAGATTAGTGCGATTGGCGTGCCTCGACGGAAGTAGCACAGTGATGCATTTTCTTTTATTGCTTCTACCGGATTCCGTTTGCTGGTCGTCCATAGGCGGTGATGTATCCGTGTTGAATACGGATGCTATTGCTGTCAATGCTGATGATAATGGCCGTTCATAGTTTGTTGGTATATTGTTGCTGTTACTCAGTTGATTCCGAGCCTTACTTGAGACAGCGTCACTTATTTTTATAAATCCAACTTCGTCCACCTCTGACAGCATTGTCTTATTTACAGGTCGAATTCCTCGTTCAAGAACCAGGCATTGGTGGCTATATGTACAAATGCCGTATCCTTTGCTTATTCTTTGACTTTCTTTTGCATTTAAATTATGTTGCATTACTTTTTGTTGTTTTCACTCCCCCAGTCTTTGTCTTGTAGACTACGAGTGGCAGTTCGCACCTCGTGACGTTTTTTGCAAACATATTCAGTACTGAATACGTGCTCTTATGAATTTATCGAGTTTCTTAACCATCTACCGCCCATGAAATCTTAGCTTACAAGAGTGTGGTCAGGCATATGCTTACGAAACACGCAGAACATGTTGTACACGTCTTGTAAGTTGCTTTTTCTAACAATGTGTACGTTTCCATAGGTGGCTGGATTGTTTGCACCCCAGCTACTTTATTTCCGTAACTTCTAGTAGTGATTGAATTTGGTTTACGAGTGTTTCTGGGATTCAGATTCTTCTTGATGCTTGAATCCCAGGCTGCATTCCGTCGTAATCGAGTAATGTCATTAGAATGACAGAATGACATACGTTCAATTACGGTTGTTCTAAAGTATTCTCGTAAACTGTTGTAACAGTTTAATTGTTAGGCCTTTTTTTAAGTGAAACCTATGAGATACCATTCACTCACCTTGTGTTATTCGTTGATATAAGGAACTGTTACATTTGACCAGAGGTCTAGTTTTACTATTTGACTAATCTCGCGGTATTTGATGAGGTACAGAGTGTTTTGAACACCATCTTACTTCGTCACAGGTTTCAACATAATGGGCTACGAATTTTTCGCCTTCTCCTCACTGGTCCGCTAAATCATGAAGAGGTAAGTTTCGTCTCTTTACTGAACATCATCAAACGTCTTACTCATAATTGTGCCTAACTAATCCGGTAGCCCGTTTCTAGTTGGTCCGTTAGTCAGCTTACTCACCGTCTGCTCTGACTGCCTCAATTTCTTGGGTTGGATGAAGGAGCGTACTGCACTGTATGCCCTTTACTTATCATGCGGGCGATTCTGGGTGCGTTATGTTGCTTTCATTACTTATTGGTGCGATTTAGTCCTATCGCGCGATTTTTTCCATTACCATTTTACATCATTCTCGAGCTATAGTTGCACCGTTCAAACTTTTGACAACAAAATATCAGATGAAATTTTTCCGTAGGACACTTATGGCCATGTCTGAGGCAGTTGCTCGATATCATGTCTTCGGGTTAACTCTTTCTCGTGGTTGGTTTGACAAGCTGTGTTAGACGTCATAAGATAGAACACTTTGACGTAACATTTTTCTTTTTTTGTGTGCAGCTTCACAAATCAGTTGAAATTCGTACCACTGATTCAGGCAAAGAGGTTTGTGCACGGGACGGTCCAGATAAAGACATGAGTGTGTTGTGTGCTACATAATTACGATAAGCTCCTCTGCCTTGTCACGCTCTTTTGGAGCTTTTCCCGCAGTATCAGTTGTGAAGTTAATGAATAAATCAGCTGCACAACTTATTTTGACCCCTTGTATTTAACTTTTAGCTTCAGGTTCTACACGCTTTAATTCTAACAAGCTGTGTATGCGTTTACAAAGTCACGCTTGGACGATGGGCCAAGATAGAAAAAAAGACAAAACTGGGGATACCCAACCGATGAATACGCGTGATCGTAAATGTATTTAGGGAAGATTGTGAAAGTTAGGGGGAAAATCGAAGGATGACGTTGGTTTCCTCAGCTAGTTTCTGCCTAGCCTATCAGGGTCTATCTGAGCTCTGCAAAAGCTTCCCTACAAAAGTGGTGTCCGACAAGGAAGCCCACTCTCTCTGTTCTTGTTCGGCCTCGCCATCGATGAAATAATGAGGCGACCGCTGGAAGGTCCTCAAAACCTCGCGGTTCAAATTTTTGTTGGTGAGGAACTTGTCCATCTGGTATACGCAGACGTCGTCGCCCTCATCTCTGAAGACGAAGGCGAAACACAACCTCTGTTAAGTAGACTGAACACCATCGCACCATCTTTCGGCATGTGCCTAGCACTGTCAAAGTGTAAAGTCATACTTCATTAAGTGCGGCTTTTGAACATAGCGCTTACAATTCAGGGATAAATACTGGACGTTGTGGATAATCTTGCATACCTCGGCAGTCGTATTAGCTCTTATGGAAGTGTCAGTGCACGAATCTCAAGGGTCCAAATAACGTTTGCTAATTTGCATCACTTGTGGCATCAGAAAGGCATGTCACGAGGTCTTGACAGTCGCCGCTACTGGGCTGCAGTAAGGGCTATTATTGCATAGTTGCGAAAATGACTACTGTGGACAGATGATGTGAGGCGTCCTCAGGATTTCGATCAGAAGTGTTTCGGGTGTCGGATGGCTTCAACGAATTCCTGACGAGGTAATTGAAGAACGGGTATTTGGTTTATAGCAGACATAATATCCAGTACCGTCGACTGCGGTGGGTCGGCTATGTGCTGCACATCTCGAAAGATCATCTACCGAAACCCGTGTTCTCCGTTCTTTCTTCAGAATAGCGCAAGCTGCGAGTGAGACGTCGTGTTATTTAGAAGAAGGATATGAAATAACGAAGGGTGTTGTTGATACGGTCCAGAATGGAATCCCTTTGGCCCTACCTGCACTCGGTTAAGCATACTGCAAGAAATGGCGGCTGATTGATTTCGGGTGCGCTCGTTCTGCAAGTTTATTTTCAGGTTGTCTTCTTGCCCAGCAGATTTTTTTCTCTTTTTCACTTTAAATGTAAGTAGATAAACTTTTAGGTTTTACGGCGGCATCAATGTCAACAATAATGTTGCGGTCTCTTATGATGATATTGATGGAGAAGTCGAAGTTCAAGTCAAAATTTCGGAACGGAAACAATTTGTTGTTGTTAGTCCCTCTTAACGACATCATTTTGCATCCTGTTCAGTGACTTTGGAAAATGGGCAGCTAGCTTTAAGGAAATTTGTCTTGAACTTGTCTATCAACAGTTTTTTCTCGTTTCGAGGTGGTCCACAGTCAGCTTTAGCCGACATCTATTTTAATAATATTTATAGCTCGAGCGGCGGGTACTGCTTCCACAAAAGGACTTTCGCCGAACACTACCCCGAATGATTGCTGCAGGTTTCATATATACTACGGTGAGTTTTTGCCGAAATATATACTTCAGCTTGCCTAGTGTACCTCGTTGTCGTGTTCCGCTTGTCTGCCAAAGAATGACGAACATTGATCGTATTTCACAACATAATCTCCTCTTATGAATAACCATTGCTGAATAATGTGATTCACCAGTGTAGAGCCACTGTAATATGCTGACAATTTACCGGAGGTCATCCGAAGCCACCACTTAAACCGGCTCTAGTTCGGGAGCGCTATCGCTGTTTATGCTTCCCACTTGTGGTATGCCAGGTATGCGCCGGAAGAACTTCACAGTCTAGTAATTTTCTGCGACAGTTGGGCAACACCGCTGGAGTTACATGTGCCTGCAGCGATTTTCCCGCAGTGACTCATCTGAGGTTCTTGTTTTGGCTTACTAAGACGGTTTTTTTACTGCAACTTCTTTCATGTTCACTTTGTGTTTCCCATTTATCTGAGTATTTAATACCCAATCACAGGTTGATTGCAGTGTCCGTTTTCCTCGTTCCTTTATAGGAACTCTCCAGATCCAAGGAGTATACATCAGAAACTATTGTTTGTCTTTATTCGGTCAACCTCTCCCAGGTGGCCACCTTGCTTATAGAACTGGCTCAGCACGCAGCGTTACGGGTTGCTCTACGGGCAGAACACGAATTCGAACAAAAAACGTATGTCCCTTTTATCCATACCTTTATCTACTTCTGAGGGGTTGTGTGATTTACACCTTGTTAAGAAACCATAAAATCACCCATGATATTAACCATAACGCCGTCAGTAATTGGTGGAGTGAAACTATTTCCTTATGGCAGATGACGAGTGCCATCAGGAAACAAAAACAGAATTGGGGAACACATCCTTCAAATGAACCAATGTGCTTTTATTACTAACGTTGCACCCGCGAATTTTAGTCTGAGATGACATCAACTGGATTTCAGTCTTAGTCTACTTTTCACTTTGCTGAATTCCATGTGTCCAAAAAAGACGCGCGGGGGAAATTTTCAGGCGTTGATCTCATCAAGCTTCTATCAGTAAAACCACCTTTCATGGTGTCTACTCATGAGTAGGTAAAATTTTAAGACGTTGAGTAAATACAACGAATCATCGGTCGCCAGTCCCCTGAGCATCCCGCCTTATTAGGTCGTTCTGTGTCCGACACGGCCCACTGTATTCGTTACCAATCTGATCACTGTCACAGGTTCCATTCATGTCGTTCGTCGATGTTTGTTTTTCTCCCGGCACTTAAGGCGCCTGATCGAACAGCGTTATCGGATAGAAACCCTGATCAAAAAACATCAACAAAAACTATCCCAGTTAACTGAACAGACCGGAAGTTCCAGTAGCCAGGATGAAGTGAATAATGCTCTTTTGAGCCAACAAAAAGAGAGCTTGGACTCGCTGGCCTCTAGCGTTACACCTTCAGAACAGCAGAAGTTGGATTCACTTACTGCAAGATTAGCTAAGTGAGTTTGTGAACTCATACGTTTGTATTACATGGTCACAATGAACGAAAAACGGGATTCCTATATTTCCCACTAACAATATCGTATTATCCATACTACTCACCATACTGCCTTCATTTCTGACGTTTCATTTGATATCCATTTAGATTTCCGTCAACTAATCGTCCTTCAAGTTTTTGGGTGTTATTCTTTTGCTAAATGAAACACCTATCCTTTTGATTGAGTCACTCGTTACGTCATGTAAATGCTGAATCACATGTTTATGATATTTATTAACCGAATACGCAGTCTGTCTTAGAGTTCAGTTGGGCAGATAAGGTAGACCTGCCTGATGAGCCCGCGAAAGACCGAAATCAGTTGTGGGCTATTGGGGATTTCCTACTAACCCTGTACGTAGGAAGCATTCTTATTTTCTATTGAGGAAAATGTCGGTAGCTCAGGTAGCGTAGATGGTGATCGTTGGCTTGTTCGCTGAGCTGGGCAATTTGATTGCAAACGTTTCATCTCCAATCGAGATGACATCATCAGTGCGTTATTGTGGAGCGTAGTGGTGCGTAGCGGTGGGTTGGGGGTTGTGCATTACAATCAAGGATGTCTACGTCATCCGTAGCTGTCCAGGATTCGAAGGATTCGATGATTATGTTGCTTCCATCAAATTGATTCTGTTCGAAGGTCCTTCTAGGCCATATTCCAATCCAGAATGCACTTCTAAGTTAAGCGGCGAACGTGTTTCCTTTTTGTGCTCTGTATATAATTTATTCTGTCACGAGACTGCTCCATAATGCAGAGAATCGTGACGCTTTTCACTTTTCTGAAGCTTTAGGATCTTGAACGTTTCTCAAACCTTCTGGTGTGTCGTTGCAGACTCTGATTCACTTTTTTTGTCATATTTTTTTTATGGATTTAACGAAGCGAGTCTAGATAGGAAGGGTTACAAACTGTGTATTTGATGTTCAGCTAGAAAATACCCACTAACTGCATGCAGAATAACTGCTATCATACAACCGGGTGGAAATCAATATCGTCGTTATTGCTTGTGGTACTGGAATAGATTGTTTTTGTAGCTGCTTAGCAGGAGAGGGATCGCAATGGACCTGAACAGAGCGTTTTTTGTTTGATCTGAAAGCGTTTGTGTGAATGATTTCAAAAGTTGTCCAAAGCAAAAAAAAAAACATTTAATTTTTGCCCTAGGAGAGTCCGATTTTTTTATTGTTTGGTTGAAATAGCTACACAAATCTACTCTTGATGTGGGTCGGTCTTTCGGTTTCCAAAACAGACCGTAGACAGTTGAATCATAATTTTTGTGGAGATTTCGTTATGTAAGTGAAGCCGACCTATGCTGAAAAGCCGAGAAGCTCCGACGAAAGCTCCACGAAAATTCCCAAATCTCCTTTCACTACCAACAGAGTCATAAGTAAAGCTTGGGATAGTCTGTTTTAGATGTGTAGTTGGTAAGAGCATCTTTCACGATCTTTGGCTTTGTGGTCACAGCCGACTTTAAAACACCCATGTGGGTTCCGATCTTGTATCGTCGGAACGATACACCATGGTCTTATCCACCCAGCCATTCGGACCAAGGAACACCTCTTCAATAATGCAGAATGAAACGAACATGTTATTTGCTTAAATTTATTTCTTCTCATCCTCCTCATCATCTCAACCTCATCCATTCATACCGAATGCCTTTGCGCTTTCTGGCATTTTTTTTCAGATTGGTGGTTTGTGAACATGAAGCACACGTAACTTGGTTCGTTGCAGAGCTATATTTACGGTTGCAGTCCGACTGACACAAAAGTACCCATTATATGCTACCTTTTTTTAAAAAAAACTATTTGTTTTGCTTTTATGGTGCCTCGAGTGCAGTGTGTCCAACGTTTCTCATTAAACGGTTTATTCTAATTTCAATTCACTCAATCTTATGCGGCAGTTTCACTTCACGAGGACCGTAATGTGGGGCAGTTGTATTCTTTTCGATCACACTGTCATTGAAAAAGTTGTTCGGGATCAACGCCAACAGTTGGGAACTGTAGCACGAATGTTTAGTCGTTCGGCTTTTCGTAACCGCTTATCGTCTGAAATCCGCCTTATGCAATGTGAAAACGTTATGAAAGCCCCAAAAATTCGACCCATGGTATGAATTTATTCGGTTTCTATAGTTTTGTTGGGATGCCGACTTAACCTCTCGAATAACCAAACCACCAAAGTTAATCGACTCAGGCCACTGACGGTAGGATCTAAAGGACGAAGTGGGATGTTTCGCGTTATTCTGCTGTCTTCGTTCAGTGTTGTTGGCATCCAAGAAGTAAGTGAATAGGTTTGCCATGCTGCCACCAGCTATAAATTGATTGATCAATAGACCAACAACCTTATGTACTGTCCGATCTACTAGCATTCTTCTCAATAACGAATGAGTTCGGTTTTTATGCTTTCTGTATAGAAAAAGTGAGAACAAGGCGAAACAAAGGTGTATTTTCGTGGAAGGTTCTAGAGCACCTGTAAAATCCGAACAGCAGTTCGGGGAGCTGCTGGGTTACATAGTATTGGCACTGAGTTCTCGGACATAGCAGCGGAGTGAACAGTTGAGTAGGATCACCGTAGGCTGTCGGGGTTGTAGTAGGATGAATTTCCACGCGGAGGATGCGTTTCTAGGTTCGCTCGTTAGTCCATCCCCACTGGACTCTGAGGTACCCGGAATAGGTGGAATCAGGTTGCACGCGGATCCGGAGCCTTAACATCATGTCAATTTGGTTGTGCGAAGAGGGGTGAACACGCAATACACTACTCATAAGGTTACTGAAAACTCTCCGACAGCCCACAACCGGTTTCGTCTTTCTTGGGACTCATCAGGTAGGGGAAGTTCTCGGGATTTCGTCAACCTTATGTTTTAATTGAACCCAAATTGCAGGAAATTAGCGACTTACGCTCATTTGCATACCAATTTTGTTTTTCACGGGAGAATCCCCTGCGACCCGTCTGAATCCCTCGTTTATGATATTCTTCAACTGAACATGCTCACCGAATGTCGTACCAACTGAAACATGGAACGGTTTGGTGCAGCACATCCAGTTGCTTAAAAGCATCACAAACGAGAGAGTCAGCTGGATTCCAGGTGAGTCTTCCGTCAAAACCAAATTGGGATGCAAATGAGTGCATTTCGCTAAGAATGATGAACACATTTCACACCCTCTATTTTTCTAACTTATTCCACCGTGACATTTACCCACTGGGCAGATGTGTAAAAAATGCCTAAATGATAGTCTCAGTGGCATCGGCCTCGGTGTTACACATCTGGAGGAACGACCTTCAAAATTCTACCCCGGCTAATGGAACCAATGTATCGTAGCGTTTACAGTTCGCCTCCAGCTTTTTGTGAAAAAGCAGCCGGGTTTCAATATTGTCGGTAAATCTTGATAGCAATAGATAATGGTGCGGAAGGCGAAATAAAAATGAAGTGTGAAATAGTGAACAAAACATTAGTGAAATGTTAAACGGAAGGAGGCGTTTTCCATAGGGACTAAGTATATTGATGATAATGGTTTAATAGTATTCTTTCGGTAGCCTTTGCGAGTTTTATGTACCTAATGGTACTGAATTCATGACCCCATGGAGGGTAGCATCATTTCATCATTTTCTTTTTTTTGAACTTGTTTCTCTCACGGAAATATCCAGGCTTTCAGCGTTTCCCAAAAAAACTAACGGGGACTTTGCGTGAAATACTTTGTTTGCTTCTCACTAATGTGTCGAATTCGACGAACTTTTTTGTGCCGTCTGACGTAATAATCCTTATGAGTGCGTCAATCAGACGAGAACAGGTGTTTCCAGCATGTTATTTTCGCGGGTATGGTTGTCCGGATGAGCACCCCATCCTATGAAAACTTTGTTTGGTTCGCCACTGAAACCCCCCCTGTTGTGCGTTTTTGTGCTACTACACATTGCATTATCGGGTTGCATTGTCCTTTATTAAACTCTACTCTTTAACGGCTGCATTCGTGGGGCGCATAGTCCAAGTCATTTGGGGCCTCATGTGGTTCACCACAGGTTCCTTTGATTTGGATTGGCGGCTTGTCCCTCTAGTGTTCCTCCTTCGTCCGTCTGTATTAGCTAGTTAACTATTTCATACACCCTGTTCATGATTAGCAATATATGTTGATTGGATCGTATCGATCGAGTTCATTTTTTTCGGCCAGGCGTTCTCCGACATCACGATGTTGTGAATAAACGCCAACAGTGACCGGCTTCTCAGACTTTTGGCTATCCACGTTCTTGCTATCACCCACACGAGATTTCACCTCAAACAACACGTCGCCATATGGACATACCCATGTTTATCCGATTATGCTATCGTTCTCCAGCGAGACTTGCGAAATACATCTATTACATGAATGGTAATAAGATGCCATCTGTGGAACAGACCTTTAGCTTCTCTGAACCGAGCTTTAACCCCAGATTCGTGGTTCACACTACGCCGACTGCATCAGTGAGCGCGTTGAAATTGATGTAAACCATCTCAAAGGCCTGAAATTGAGGTTGATATGCCAGCATCAACTGGCCTCCGCACATACAGTTTTCAATCCATTGAGCTAGCTGATAGGAGTGCGACACAACTTCAAGTACCAGTTGCTGATGGGGGTAACTGCACCGGAGACACCTTGGCTTGTTTGATAACAATAACAGCTAGCATATAAAACAGCTATCAGCTGGAATAACGAAGCTCTGTTGCATCTGAACAGGAGGGTCACGAGACAGCACCAAAGGGTGCTCCAAATGACCCGATCAGGCAACTTAGCCTCATCAAGGACGAATGGTAGAGACCGCGGAGTAATTAGGCTGAGGAATTCGTTGGTCGGCAGCAACAAAATGAATTATACGGCTATCTGAAAGCTATCTGCGGACCGAGCATCAAACCGTCTCAAGAGCTTCAGGATGTTGCCACGGGACTGATGCAGAAGTCACTTGCAGAAATATTGGATGTATGGCGCAAGCACTTCAACAGACTGCCGAACCGATTAATGATCATCGACTGGACTGGACTGGATCATCTAATCGTGCCACTGTGCAGGAGAAATGGAAACTGGACTTCACCTTGCAACTACAGTGACATCCTTCCTTCTTGTTTAGGCTTGAGGAACTTGGCAATAACCCAGCCTCATGATTCCTTCTGATGGCTTGGTAGGTATACGCCGTTAAATTGCTTCCGCTGAATAATTGTTCATTATATTACAGAAACATCAGTTTGCTGAGCTGCTCGGGCAAGCTTCTATCACGATTGCTACTCATTCGCATTACGAAGAACAATGTGGATTTCGTGCAGGTCGTAGCACGACAGCCTCATGAAAAGTGCCATGGATATCATTAAAGACGAAGGCTTTCGACTCCATGAACCGAGAAAGATTGTGAAAAGTTCATTTAAAATAAGACTGCCCGCTGAAATTCGTCAAATTCCAGAATGAGATGGAAGGTGCAAACGAAGGGATGATGTCGAATGAATATCGAACGATGTCGAAATCCTCTTTCACGGAAAACGAGGGTGCTTCCTTACCTTAGCTCTCCTCCATCGCGGATGCGGATTTCGCGAACGACGGTGCTGGTTTACAGTTAGATTATCGGCTTGATGGATGTTTGTTCAGGGTTAGACGTTTTGGTGCGAACATTCAGATCCACCACCGCCTGTTCATGTTTCCGGATGATTATATCGTTCTCACATGCGAATGATGAACTGGAGCGTCCAGTTAAGGGATTTTCGAATGGCGCCCGAGCATCAAGGAGAAGCTGACTCTCGTTTTGCATCAACTTGCATCGGCTGAAGTCCCCAACACTTCTGCTTGTCAATATTGGAACAGAGTTTGTCGACTACTGTACAAGCTTCTGTAACCTAAAAATTGCACTGCTTGCTGCACTGACTGTCCACCGTCAGCTGTGATCCTGCGTTGTCATATATAACTATGTAATTAACCCACATTAACACTCTTGATCTCCCGGATTGCTAAGTCTACAACGGTGCTAGAGTTGACTGTGAGGATCGCTATTCGGGCCAAAATGTGTAATGGCTAGTGCTAGCTAACCACGTATGCTTGCCTAGGATGCGTCTCGTGAATGATATAGACCACCAAATACCCCTTTGCGTCCGCTGTATGGCTGAATTGCTCTGTCGAACCCACTTAATTTGGTAGTTCTGGGTTGAATATGCAAATACCTACGGAACTGCTCACTTTACTCGTCCTGCAGTCTTATACTCTCCGGATTTACATAGGAGAATCGCGCATGTGGTTTTGCTTTTTGTACGCGTGTGTTCGCCTGCTTCGTCCGATGGGACAAGCCTATCCGGAAACTGATGCTAACCCGCCCTATGTTTTCCTGGATCACAAAATTTAGTGGAATGCATTTCAGTGAAACACCGAACTGTATGATCAGTTCTGTCACAGTCTTCTAGTATGTGCTTTGAATCGTCTAAGCAACGTAGGCGTGCTACAGCAACAGCTGACACTTGCATTTTTGGCTACATCGTCCCACAAAGTTTTGCATAGTCCCTCGTTACGAAGACTCATTGCAATATTTTAGCCAGAGCCAGTCATGTCGAAGGATTTCTGGAAATTTCTTCCATAGAAATATCCATGCGATTCGATGATGATTAAAACTGGAGGTTTACTGTTTCAAGTTGTTTCTACGGATCCACCTGTCCGACTAGGCTTTTGAGCTGAAAGGGCTCATTCCGACACCGACCGGTTTCAACGGATATAATTCATAGCTACACTGGTAGTGAGAAATACTGGGGATGAAGCCGGCGTTCACTATTCCGGCATGGAAATTCCTCATGTTGGGACACTTTCTAATCCACTTACCCGCATGATATTTTCAATCCCAGTTAGACTTATCTTCCAATGTTGAGCATTAGTGTGGTAAAAAGCGGGAATAGATATGTGCCGGAAAACCATTCGATCTTAATTAGTAACTGAAATATTGAGCGCAATAACAGCAATATCACCCATTCATTTGTAGGTGCACAGATAGAGTTGGATGAATCATAACCTGTGATAAATGAAGGAATTGTCTCATTTCCCAGACTCATTTGCTTTGTAAAGTTCTGTATGGCCAAATCTATTCATAAATTTTCCAGTATTTTTTTAATTTTCGGGAAACATCCGGGAAACTGAATAACGGTAGAAGTACGTTGCAAATACGCACACCACATGCTCAGCATCGAGAACTGAGACCGCGAGTAAAAAAACTTGACGAGCATTTCCTGCTGTTACGGTTAGAATGGATAATTTTCAATTACGGTATGTCCAAAACCGAATCACGGACACGGTCGAAATTTTGTGGGACTAAACACAGTTAAGCTGTCTACACACTGTTGCAAACTCAATAAAACAATTGGTTTTGGTCTTAACGTCACATGGGCACTAAATTCATAACCCCCAACATCCCTACTTACTTCTATTACCGTGTGACATTTCTTCGTAAACTTCGTAAAAATTGCAAATTTTTACGGCGTATAAAAAATGGTCTAAAACCCTAGTACATGTACCATAGTCTCTGGTGCATATCAAACAAAGAGGAATTGTCTTCAAAGCTTTACTTCATAGTGCGTGATGCGAACCCAACAATTATGGTATAAATACTCGGGAATGCGTTTGGTTTAGTGGCCTAAAAGGTAACCTTGAAAGTGGGAATTACCGCGAGATGTTTGTTCATAACTGCAATTAGAGCTCTTTTCCTTGGCCAAGAGAAAGATGAGTCCTATTGTAATCAACTTGGATCGCAAGAGAGACGGATTTTATTGTCGTCGTTGGGAGTGATGTGATGGGCCAACGAGCCCGGATGAACTACAGAGGTGTGGTAGATTCAGGGTCGATGTCCATCGTACGGGTCAAGAGGAACATCCCCTCGTGCAGTGAACACCACCTGTTCCTACCCAGCACGACCTTCCAACACCGAGTTACCTGGGCACCTACCGCATTCCAACCATGAAAATTTCGGTCCAACACAGATAGACCACGTCGCCAGTAGCCTCAGGTGGTGTGGCCCGATTAATGGAACACGTGTGAACGCGGATCACGCCTTTGTTTGTTACTGTTTCTAACTGCGCTTTCCAGGGGTGCATAAGATGCGCGCAATTTGTTAGAGCATTGAGAAGCTGTCGGGATCTGATATTAAGCAAACGCACCTTTCGAACGGTACGTCTTCTGATGTCGGATTTCGTTCGATGGGCGTTCCGCTTGTGGACCGTCGCAACCAACTAAGCAGTGGATCTCAAGCGTCAACGTCCAGTTTGACGCCAACAATTTCTTTGGGAACATAGAACTGCTAACCACATTTCAGAGAAGTTCGAAAATTGTGCCGGCACTGTACGAACACGCAAGAACTACTTTGTTCCTGTGCATTCGCATTCATTGGTGAACTAACCTTGAACCGGGCATACAGACACTTGGCGTAAGGGTAAACTAGTGATACTCGTTGAACTGGTTGCCGGAATTACGCAAGACTGATCGCGCTTCCAAATGCTCTTCAATGGCAAACCTTGTATCTCGGTTTCTGCTTTCAGCAGTTGTAGAAACGCTTGTCGCAAGTCTTACAGATTTATTGTAGAGTTGATTTCGACCCAACAGACAGCATTTTGTATTCTGTCGAAAAACCTGTTTCCAACCACCCAAGTAAGTTTGAATTATTTGATGTATTACAATTCACGTGTTAATGGCTCTGCATAAATACCCTGTCACCTAGGTAACGCTTTTTCCGGGTAACAAGCGTCTATTGATGAAATAAATTGATCGGAGGAGACTAAGGCAGCCTGAATTATGATGAATGGTTGCTGTTTTTTCAAACTTGGGTTTTCCTCCATGGAAAAACCCGGCTGTCTGATTAGAGTAGACGAATCCACATAAGTTGGGGAAGGATTTTGTACTTTCAGGAAACCTGACAGTCATCCCTTGGCAAAACGTTTCACTCTGAAATGGGCGTCCAAAATGTGTATTCACCTGCATTTTGTAGGTCTGTTAGGGACAACCAAGCTACTTTGTACATCTGGATTTTTCTCGAGTACACAAAGAAAAATTGCGTTTCCGCCATGATATGAAACATCTGACACTGGTTCATAAGGTGGATCGCCAGCAGCATTTGTTGCTTTTCTACCGTGGAAGTGTTCATAGTATAAATTAATTCTTTGATTTGTTTACGGGAATAACTTGTCCACACAGTTGCTTGCGACCCGTTACACCCACACCAGCGGATCATTAGTGATCTGGGTAATCTAAAGTGTGCTTCGTGCCGGGGCAAAATTTGAAAACCGTATGAAGGGTGTAAAAAGCTGAAACAGACAAAGTTTAGTCGGTGGCCGTCACACAGTGAGGCAGTTACATCCTATATCCCATGCGAAAGTTGCACATGTGGCTATCAAAACTCACTACGGGTCACTGCGATCAGCCGTCTGTAAGCTTGATACTGATCTACAGAACACGCTTTTTTGAGAACAATAAAGAATTTGTACTGCGCTAAGGTCAGATCTATCGTCGGCCTAGCTCAGCTCACCCTCGCCCACGCACATCGGCATGCAAAAATCGTAGGTTTATTCAATTTGATTCATCTACACTTTGAATCCATCCTTTGAGTGATTGTGAATGAATTTATCATATGTTGTGACGTGTGTGTCAAACAAACCTGGGTGGCGTTATGGAGGCCACATCACTTGGCTAGTGTATTTAATGAGGAAGAACATATAGAGTTACATTATGTTTTCATATCTCTGTCTATAGTTCCGTCAAATTTTCGCAGTTAATAGTATCGTTGTAAACCCCTTCATGTTGGATTATTTTTATACGGAGTTTGTCATCATTGAGAACAGCGAACACTAGAGCGCGTACATTAATTCCGGATAACAGTACGACAGAGCAGTAAAACTGGCAATGTGGAATTGGACTCCAAGTGTATTTGAAAGGAATCGCCTCAGGCAATTCTCAAGAAAATATTTGTATTCACTGTCGGGGACGTTTCAATATATTTCAGTGACATGGGCTTCAAATGCAACAACGAGGTAAAGTTGTAGGCTGAATTGTCACATTCCTTCTAAGCTGTACTGTCTGTAAATCTTGAAAAGTTCACTTCAAGTTCTGATGATGATATCGAAATTCAATAAACGCATGTTTCTAAAACCAACCATAACCAGTGTGAGGTATTTACGTTAGAGGGGCGAGGGAATCACTTGTGTTGTGTTGTTCCCTAGAGTCGCACGCCTACAAAATCTGGCGGATAGCGTGGTTCATTTTGTGACTTGTTTTGTTGGCATTCTGAGGATTTCGGTATACCTCGAGCAACATTTATATGTGATACGGAGATGGCATGACGGATTTGATAGCTTGTGACATACTTCATACGAATCGCAGTCCTACTACTGGTGAAAGGAAGAAGGCACTTCGCTGCGGAGTTATTTATTAGAAAATGCCAACTGACCAGTTAC